GTGAAGAAATTGTAAAAGCATTTAAAAGTATATATGATAACTCTGACAACTCTCTTAACTAGCCTTAGCTATTGCAATCTGATTAAGATCATAAGTTTATAAAAAATATGATATTTATAATAGATAAATATAATATTAATATCTGAAGAATTAAAGTACGTTTTAGATATACAAGTATAGCAATAGTTGATCATTATGCCAAATTATTTGAATTAAGAGTTTTTAAAAACTAGTATATGATAGAGTTTCTCTTACCTACTGGTAAACTCTATAGAAAATATGAATGGTTTGCATGAAAGATTGTTAACAATATGAATGATACTCTAACTTAACTAATTAGAATAAGTTCTAATAATGCTATGAAACTTGAGCAGATATATTCTAAGCCATCAGTAAAATATAATCATCTAATAGGTGTTAATGAACTACAACTACCAAAGAGTACTATTGTGCGATTCTTACTTGCTAAAGGAGAATAGGAAAATGATCTCTTTGAACGATGCAAGATAACAGATCCTGTATGGTCTCCTTCCTTACATAAAATTCGAAAAATTGTTGTTAAGAGAAATCTACTAATGCCTATCTTATACTATTTAGATGAATTAGAACCTTAGTATCCCTTTGTAAAAGAACAATTAATGCATATTAAGGAAAAGTCTATATTACCCTCTAGATGGGTACTGGGAGATAACCGAATGTGTACAAGGCACTTTTTATAAAAGTTTCTAAGTCAACTACGCAATAGGGTATTATAATAAGGATTACTCTTTCTCTATAACACAATACTCTTTTTTTTCAATCATATCAAATTTGCGCATCTAGATTCATTTGTCCTTGCAGATGAAAAAAAGGTATGATTTAGTAATGTTAATTACCATTATATTTGAAGGCTAAACCAAACTCTTTATTATATCCATCTAGATATAACTCTTCTAAGAATTTAGATTTTCTGAGTAGAAATTTTTTATTTAATAAATCTTTAAAAATATATTAGCATATTTTTTCTAGTACATTGGGGCAAATATTGTACTATCTATAATTTTGCTTTATATTTTTATATAATGCTTCCTATTGATAATTCTTTTTATATGACAATAAATATATATTAGAATTAACTTTGGCCAAACATCTCCCTTTCTGCCTCTGAGCATATGCTAAAGCTTTAGTATCAATTTCGTTATAATTTTACATTTTATTTTCTAATCTTTTTTTTTGAATATAAATAAGAAAAAAAAAGGTACTGTCTCGTATCGATATTCAGAATAAGACAAAGAGACAAATTCCCATCAATGCACTCATGAGTATTGGGAATCCCATAAATTTCAGATAGGTGATCAACTATAGTGAAACCCTTTTCTGCTACTCGAATAAAATATTTATCAAAAATTTTCTCAGAATAATAGGCATCTAGAAGAGTGATATCATCTTTACTATTAGACAAATATTGAAAATATGTATGATTATTTAACTAGACTCATAATCAAGATCTTCTAACTCTAAGAAGAAGAGCCTTATAGCTTTATTTATTTCATTGGGATCAGGCTTGAGGTTTTTTGTGCAAGCAACATAATAGTATATAGAAAAAACTATTATAAATTTATATAAAATTTTTCAAATCTTCAAAATAAAAAAGTAGAATGCCAAGTTAGAATTATATATAGAAAAGAAAAGAAAAAGTTACAACTTGGCATCCTACCAACCTTAGCAATATAAAGAGTCATAAAAGGCAGAATAGCAAAGATGATATAATTTCAGCAATCAAAAGGGTCATGAAAGTTAGGATTATGTATTTGGATTACTAATTCGGCACTTTGTACCTTATTTATAGCAACCAAAGGGATTATAAAAGATAAGATTACAAAAATAGACTTCATATATACCTCACTTAGCAATTAAGAGATGACAAATAGATTACAAAATATCTAGTAAGTAGATGAATTGCAAATTCAGTACTTTGTGTTTTGCAACTGATTGCTTCTAAAGAGACTATGCAGGCCAGAACATAGATTCTAATTTTTTAATTTTGACATCCAAAACAGGATTCATGATGTGAGCTCTTCTTTACTCAAGCCAGTTCCCAAATCGAGATTCTTGATATGACCTAAACTAGTATCCGAATTGGGATCTAAGGCGAGCTTGAAATCCAAACTCTTGATACCAAAGACGATTTCTAAATTAGCACTCAAAGCAAAATAAATAAGATAACCAAGATAGTTTTCAAACTAGCACTCAAGGCAAAGCAAATAAAAAAGCCAAGATAGTCTTCAAACCAGTATTCAAAGCAAAGTAAACAAGATAACCAAGACAGCTTCCAAAAGGTCACAAAGTACTAAAAACAAAAACTAGATAACATCTTACTTATAACTAGACAATACTTTACTCATAACTAGATAACAACTTAATATAACTAGGTTGTAATATATATATATTGCAACCTAGTGTGTAGTATATTGAGCTGATATTTTTGTTTCTGTAAGGCTTACAATATGTAAATTATGAGTAAGACAATACTCTTCTCATAATTTTCTTTTTAATAGTTGGTTATATCCTTTTATATTATGTATTGTAATGTTGAGTAATAGTGAGTTATCAAAAGTTTGAGATCTAATTGATAAATAAAAAAATTTAAAATAATTATTAGGATGAAGTATAATATAATATAGTAATAATAGATCAAGAATATTAGTATAAATATATGTTTCTTTAAGTAAAAGATTAATTGAAATTTTGAATAGAAGTTTATAGTTAAGTTTGGTTAAGTATTGTATGAATGATTCAAGTATTTGATTTGAATTAAGAATAGAATAATTATATTGTTTTAAAAATAAATTATAGCAAGTGACTTCAGTGTGTAATGAAGAAATGATTACTAAAGTTGTGTTGAGTTCTTCTATAGAAAGGGCGTTCGCCTATATCTAGTTCTCATAGTTGTGAAGTTTGCCAAAGCTTGCTCTATATGTTGAGTCTAGCTAACATATAATTAGTTCTCTACAAGAATAATAAATCTTTAAAGTTTTGCTTTGAAAATTTTTACTATAAAATTTTTAATCAAATTTTTTCAGATTTTATATATAAACAAGACTAAAAATAATTTTTACTTCTAATACAAGTATAAATTTTTACAAGTAAATCATGGGTCTGGCGATCTTAGTGTGGTGGTTAGGTTGCCAGACTGCTATATAAAAGGTCTGGGATTCAAATCCCACTATCGACGAATTTGAATAATTACCTGAACCTTTGTATCTAACTTACGGTAAACTCTGTCCGTTTCTAGAGTTGTAACCCTGTAAATCGTGTTGTACTAATATCAATTGGGTATTGGAAGTGTAACAGAAAAGTCAAGTATGATGTAACGTTATGTGAATAAATCTTAATAGGATCTACGAGCAGGGAACCTGTATAGTAGAAATCCTGAGTTAGGTGATATAGTACAGATTTTAACGGTCATGCCAGTTTGACGCTTGATCTGGATGAAGTCTAGGTACGAAAAATGCAGACCAAGTGGGTGCGAGTAAGTTCTTAGTATAACAGAAAAGTCAAGCATGATGTAATATTATACAAAAAGCAACACCAACTTGGTTTAGCAGCTAACTAGATTTGGGAGGATCTATCTCGTTAAATATTCAGAAGAACTAGACCAATTTGGTAGAGAGCTACAGAAGGAACTAGGTTCATATGAACACCAATAAGGGTATATGCTAGCTTAATTGGGATATAGCACAGCATAGTTGGGGTTATCCGCAAGCCCTCACCGGAATAGGACATAGGAGGGTACCTTGTGATAGGGCTCAGTCCTATGAAGACAATTTGAGGCGCAAGTTGGTCTGAGTGATTCTCAAATGAGGCAGCACAAGATTAACGTAGATATACAAATATTAGGTTAAAAATAGAGTTTCACTGTAACACCAGAGGGTTTAAATAGAGTATCTACAGGCAGATACTAGGTATAGCGATTGGTAGGTAACCTATATAGTGGAATCTGTAAATAGACAATGACTAAATTTGTACGTGTAGCCAATTGTATCCTTACTAACAAATGTAACTTAAAATTAATACTTAATAAAAATCTGTGGACAGCTTGTTGAAAAATAAAAAAAAAAACAAGTAAATCACAAAAGTTGTAATAATTAAAGTTGTAATTCTTTAAAAGTTTTATCAAATTGCTTAATAAATTATA